TTGAAAATTTCTCAGCAATCACTTTTAATTCAGTTTAACAGTAACGAGTTAAAATAACCTTAATAATTATAATTATCAAAGAACATTCAACATAGCACCATAGATATTTATTTTTTTACGCGATTTACAAATTATTATAAAACGGTTTATTATTTCGTTTGTTCTAATATTTAAAAATTAATTTAAAGAACAAAATTACAGCAAATAAATATACGTATATATATTTCCAACCACTGGTAAAAAGTCTTAGGTGGTCGATACAACACTCGATGGGTGCTCAATGGGTATATGCGAGCTGTGTGCGGTGTGCTTGGGCCAAATATTCTAAATTAGTAATGGACTTACGTTTCCGATTATACTGTCTAGTCCTAGGTGCGTATAAGCATGCAAGGTATGGTTGGGGTACGGCGTTGTTTAATTCAGCGGCCACGGGCTAGCCCGAATATTATGTTGGTTGCTGCCGAGATCATGATTAAAATATAATTTTAAAACTGGGTAGCCGGAGTTTCAAAAGACGTAACGCATTTTAGATTTAATTTTATAAGAATTGTCAAATCACTGATAAATATATACACAAATTTTTATTTATTCTTTTGAAAATTTCAGAGTAGGCCTAAATTTTTGAAAATAAGCACTACATGGATTCTTACTTAATCGTTAATGAGTAATTTGTATAATTCGGACAGATCCATGAAACCAACAATAAATTTTCGCAGAAGAGTGAGGAAAATTTTATTTTACTGTTTATTGATATTAAAATTTGGTTAATATCAAAGCGGAATATTAATTTATATACAGGGTGTAACTGTACGTGGGGGTCAGTTTTTTTAGGGGTTCTCCAGAATACTAGTCCGAAAATATTTTTACAAAATCTCATAATAGTCTTTTTTTGGGTAATGTCGAAATATATTTTTCTTCTAACGACTGTTGTAGGCATACTTCAAAAAGTACCAATTTCTGCAAAATTACGTATTTTCCGCTCCATTTATATCCACATTATAATATTTGGTTGGAAATGTCGAGTTATCATGGCCCTTTATCAAGAAAATTATTATTGGTAAGCCTTCCTCAAACTTTTTCAGTCGCCCTCCCGGCAGACGTTACGAAAGCGCGCGGGACCAACAACAAACTTGATAGAACCGGGAATAGGGACCGTTTTACTTCCTCGTATACTTCCACGGGTCGAAAATTGAATAGAATGGGAAAGGATAACAGTATATAAAACCGGCCGAAAATTGACATTTCTACTCTCGAGTTTCCCGGAGAATTTTCAATCCAGTCGCGTTCCCCATTCTCGCCCTTCTAATAGAATGGTAATGAAGTTACTAAACGCTAATATATTCGAACTGGAACGTCAGTCTTGGAATTAATTGGCGCGTATAGAACTTTCCCCGCCGGAAAACGTAACTGAGAAGGTAACTCGATTATGAGGCAAAAAGAGAGGGATCAGCACCGCGATTTATATGTAAATGTGCTCGTGACTTGTGATGGTTGTGGTTGGCCTTCTTGGTATCTACGCTATTTGCTCATTTTTTCTTGACAGCTGACAGACAGGCTATTTTCCAAAAAAAAAAAGTAAAAAGTGGAACTCGAAAGTGTTATTAATGATTTTTTATTCTCATTTCTATATTTTCAAATATTTTTTGCAGCCGTATAAGTTTATTAAGTACCCTTCTTCCAGATCGACATGCCAAAATTTTGTTCGTAATTCTCAGAAATAAAGATTTTCTTTTTTTTTTTTTGTTTTGAGGATTCTTCCTAATAATTCTTATCTATAAAAATTAAACAGTACTAAAGATGACAGAGCAAAATAAAAAATAGAAATAGTTTATTCGCTATTTTCTTAGTGGCAATGTATTGTTATTTTCTTAAATTAATTTCTTCTTTCGTTAGAATTCTGGATTTTTTCGGATGATATCCAACTGATGCTTTTCAGATATGGTATTAGATTTGGAAATTTTGTGATATTTTAATGTAATTTTATGTTCGAAATATGCCAGTAATTCCGCTTTTTACACTTTCGGAATTTTCTTCGAACTGCACCACCCTTTCAATTCATTGTAGCCATTCTCGTACTGTCTCGACGATTTTTTGGGGATTAATTGTGAAACAGCACTTTGTGCCACTTCCAATACTTCCCCTGGCAAATGCTCGTCTTCACTTTCCGACCTCATTTTGAATTAAACACTCTTAGAATATGAATTACAATATAATTCTGACACTATTTTTCAACAAACAACTAATGTTTGTTGTTTATTAGACTGCTATCGTTGTGATAGTCACCGCGCTTGAACCGTATTGATTGAGACACGGTTCAATCGATTTCAAATATAATTAATATAATTAAATTGTTGTATATAACACAATTGTCATATTTTATTGCAGTTTTCGAAAAAATATTGTATGTATATCGACCGTAAAATGCTTTTGCGAAGCTCGCTAAGCTCGGCAAAATGACTTCCATTCTTGTACGCAAAAGTACCACTTCTCGTTCTAAATATAAAAATAACTATTTTAAATAGTAAATTTAAATTAAGAAAAAATAGACGAAAATTTCCAAAATTTTGCTCTCGGAGCAACTGGTGATACCAAAACATGATAGTGCAATCGAAAAGAGTATATTATTTGTAAGGGTGGGGATTGTTTTCTCAGTAATATCTTTGGTATTGACTTTTTTACATCGTGGATACATTTTCAAAAATTTCGTAGGTACGTACTTACATTTATTTACAAAAAAGATACTCCTGTTGCAAATATTTTGATATAAAGTTTTTTGAGCACATTTATTGCGAAGATTTTGCAGCATTCCCACACGAATGGTGTCAACAGTTTTTTTTTTCTTTTTATAACTTTAACACCCTTGATATACACTACTTTATTGAAGCCAAGCGTTCAAATCACACTGTATAGTCCATGTACATCAGGGTGGCCAAAAAAAAACGAATATTTTTTTTCGTGTTTTTTTAGTCTTTTTTTTAGAGGTCGCTCAAGATTTTTAAAAAATTCCAAAATCGTCGAAAATTAAATTATTTTTTAAATTTTTTTCTCGTTATTTTATCATTTTCTAGGTTGAGAAATATCTCGATTCTGAAAATTTCAAATCGATATTTTAATTTCTAAAGGTCACTCATAATTATTTTAACTTTAAAGTAGTTTTCGAGCGACCTCTAAAAATAAAAATCAACGAACTAATAATTTTTTTTATTGAATATTTGATGAAGAATTGAAATAAATCACGAAATACTAAAAAATTTATCGAGGCAAAATTTACTACTGCACTATATCAAATATTTATTTTTTTTTAATTTTTTAAAATTTAAGTGTCTCGTGATTTATTTCTATTCGTTTCTTCATCAAATTCAATAAAAGAAATTATTAGTTCGTTGAGGTCGCTCAAAAACATTTTTGGTACACTACTTTTAAAGTTAATATAATTATGAGTAACTTTTAGATCGATTTGAAATGTTCAGAATCGAGAATTTTTTCAATCTAGAAAATGATAAAATAATGAGAAAAAAATTTAATTTTTGACGAATTTGGAAATTTTTAAAGATCTTGAGCGACCTCTAAAAAAATTTTTTTAGAGCTGATTTTTTTCAGGGGCTCTTAAAACATGATAATCTAACATATTTTCACAAGAGAAGAAAAAAAATATTCGTTTTTTCGAAAAAAAAAACTTTTGAATGTACGAAAGTGCCAGAAATTTTGAGAAAAACATCCAAAGGCATATTTTTGTACGCGCTGGTGTTAGTTTTTCCCCAATTTTGGAAGAAAAATCGCAACAAAGTCAAAATAATATAATTTTACAATTTTTACACTATAATTATATTAGAAACAAGTTGTGCAACTAATTAATTGCCTATGGGGACCCCGTTCTTTACATTTCGTGTCCAAGAATTTTTCCTCGGATTGTGTCTAGAGCTTTTCACGCCACGAGAAAATCTGAGACATGCGTCTTCGATCCCCATAGTAATTGAAACTGTTCTCCGAATAGACCTTTCACATAATAAGTATGATACTCAAGCAAGTCCCCTTGCCAAATTTGTTACGGCACTTTAGTCAAAGTACGGAGTGCCTAAGTTGTAGTTCTCATTAAAGGAGCAGCTAACTAAAGCTAACCGCCTCCTCCTGCCGCTCATTCTATAGGAGAAAAGTTTCCGTTTGCCTCCTAATATCCGGCAAGGCAGCCGAAGTCCTCGGCCACACTCTGCTTACTAATTAGGTATGATTGTTAACGTCTTCAAATCTGACTCTTTGATTAAATGAAATGTTGTATGTGTGGATGTCATCTTACTTCAGTTAAGGTTCGGAATACATTAAAAACTTGTTTGTTGAAAACTAGCGTCAGAATTATATATTGTAATTCATATTCTAAGAGTGTTTAATTCGAAATTCCCAAAAAATCGTCGAGAGGGTACCAGATTGCCTACAACGAATTCAAAAAGTGTCCGAAGCGGTATTATTAGCATATTTCGAACATAAAATTAATAAAATTAAACCTTCGACGTTATGGTCAGTTATTCCATGTTAAAAAATACATTGAATGCCAAAACAAATGTAAATATCACAAAATTTCCAAAATTCATATTCCGAGATGTTTTGTGATTTCAAGTCTAGACCAATGTGTTAACCAAAAGGTTGGCGTCACTATTTTGTATTGAAATGTTAAATTACTTAAAATGTATAGTTCGACATTTGTTTTATGTTCTTCAACGAAAAATACTTTGACGTTCTAGGATATAAAAGTATTTTGGAGGTAGGTGACAAAAAAGACTGAAAATTTCGACTTTCAAAAACGTCCACTTTTGATGACAGTTTTAGAAAAAATATATTTTATGAATTTTGAAATGACGTAATTATTCTCGCCATTCGTGTACAGATACTTTGCAGGAGTTGAATCCGGCCCCCATACCGACCGACGGGGGTTTTTTCAGGCCTCTTTTTCGTCGGTTTAACTAACCCCGAAGGACGCGGGTCGAATCATCCCTTATTTGTTCCAGGGATTTGGCCAGGGAGCACTCGCAGCGAGCCAACAAACTGCTCGACACTCTGCTGTGCACCGCTAAAGATTATATCGTGGACAAGAACTACAGGTTAATCGAAACCCCTCTGATCAATGCGGCCTTTAAGGAGAAACCCTCGGGGCTGTCTCAGGGGGCGTTCCAGACGGGCTACGGATTCATTAAGGTGAGTGTGACGTTTACATTGACGGTCTTCAGTCATAAAATAGAACGGCCAGTGATCTATGGATGATAGGACGGTCGATGCATCTTCAGAAGAGAAAAAAAAAAACGCAGAGCCACAAAACAGTCCTAAATTTCGATTACCTCACCCTTGCATTGCCCTGCAAGTGATAAAACAGCGCGGTGTGGCGGATTGTCTTACGGCAATCCTTGTTGAGCGCACGCATGTGTTTAATGAATTCCACCTCTAGTAGGAGACCAACTTGTGACGTCGTGCAATTAAAATAGAATGAAATATTTAAGGTAGGAGGAGGGATGCCTACTGAAGCTTAATTATTCCTTTTTTCCAGGACCTTTCGACGCTGAGCAGGGTGCAGGATTTGAGCCTGTACGAGGATAAACAGAGGCTGGTGGTGTACGGGAGCCTGACTCTGAGGGAGTTCAAGGTAAGTGGATGAAAGAGACGGGAGTTGATGCGTGTTGACTTTATCGCGGATTAGAATACTCTTCTGAGGCCAGGTTGTTGTGCGATCGGTTAGAAGTGCGTTTGCTGCTTAAAATTGAATATGTTCCTAAATTTATATTCTTTGGCGAGGAAGAAATTAATTTTAGTGACGAGAAAGGTCATTTGGTAATGTTTTTAAAAAAGGAAACAAATGGTTAACTCAGTGACTGGTCAAAGTAATGAAGAAATGTGCAAACATTTGCAATAATTTTATGAATTTATTCCAAATTATTTTCAAATCATAAAAAATAATGAAAACATTATACAATGAAATCTGTTGTAGTCCAGTATCGACCGTTCCTATATTATTTGATTGATTTATTAGCAGTTTTTCTTTCGCATGTACTTATATCCATTGTTTGTCTTAAAATTAGTTGTTTCTTAACTGTCATCGATTGCGCATTTACAAGTCTCTTGTATTTCTGTATTAGTGTTTAGTGTTTTATTACAAAGCGGGATGTGTACTACTCTGAAAAACTTGGAATAATCAGAAAGTTTCATAGATATGCAAATTTTAAGGAAATATCGAGGAATTTCTAAAATTTTCGTGGAATCCGATATGGCATCGATAAGAAACTATTTTCTTGAAAATATTAAAAAGAAAACTAACTACCCAGTGAACAGAACAAAAAAAGTGACGTCATAATGGTTGAAGAAATTTTTCAGTCTGGTGTGGTGTTACTTTTAAAAAGAGAAAATTTTACTTTATGTTAAGAAAATTCAAACGAACAGGAAATAATTTCAATAAATATTTCTGGTAATTCTCAATTTTTAATTTAAAACAAAATGACCTTATTTTAATTGAATAAAATTAAAAATGACACTTTTTAAAAAATACATACAGGCTGTTACAAATTCGCTCTCACTACAGTGGAGTACGAAGGCTGTCCAGGCCTACACGAGATGAGGCAGGATAAAGAGGGATAATCCCCCTCGATCCCAATTCATTGAGGCCAATTTCTAGCCATGGAATAATGGCGGAAAGTGTAAGAAGAACTAAGTTCAATGAGGTCAAAGTTGCATAATCAGGGAATCAACATTATGCCTCTAAAAAACCAAGGCTAACATGATTAGTTTTCGAAATATTTGCAAAAAACCGAAGTTTTGGAAATTCGTTTTTATTTCATTTCAGCTTTGTATCATGCGATATTGAAAAAAGAAGAACAGTTTCAAAAATTTAGATAAATTTGTAACGAATACATTGAAGATGAATTTTTCGAGATTCTGGTTCGGGCTGAGGCAGGACAATATTGGGGGTCATGAAGGCTTGCAAAAAATGTAATAAAATTTCAGGGGTAGTATTTAAAAAAATGAAATTGATGATGGTCCTGGGGAGACGAAACGTTACATATAAAAATTGATTGTGCCATTCGATAGAGGGCAAAAAGTTGGCATGAGAAAGTGTTCTTCTTTTTTCAATATCGCCTTTAAACAAGGCTGAAATGAAACAAAAACGGATTTCCAAAATTTTGAAAATTAATCATGTTAGCCTTGATTTTTAGAGGCATTATGTTGGTCCCCTGATTATGCAACTTTTCCCCCATTGAAGTTAGTTCATATCTCTTACCGTTTCCGAGACCCCTGTAGTGAGAAGCGAATTTGTAACAGCCTGTATATATATTTTTAAAAGTGTTTTAATTTTATTCAATTAAAATAAGGTCATTTTCTTTTAAATTACAAATTGAGAATTACCAGGAAACATTTTTTTAAATTATTTCCTGTTCGTTTGATTTTTATTAAAATAAAGTAAAACTTTCTTTTTTTAAAAGTAACTTCAAACCGGACCGAAAAAATTCCTCAACCTTTCTGATGTCACTTTTTTTTTTGTTCTGTTCACTGGATAGTTCACTTCGTATCTCTTACCGTTTCCGAGATCCCTGTAGCGAGAAGCGAATTTTTAATATTTGTAAAAATTCTAATAGCTTTTATTTATTTTCATAGCATTTCAATTTCGAAGAATAAAAACGAAACATGTTTTTGTTTTTTTTTCCACTTTATTTGTTTAAAGTTTATTTTTAACATATTCATTTTAATACAAGTGCAATTGTATCAATATTAGAAATGGACTAAACACTAACTCCCATAAAAAAGTTCACAGTTCAAAGAAATAATGTTTCGAAAAATGTAGATTTTTTAAAATATTTAACTGTTTATTTAGCATTTTTTCTAAAATCATAAATAAAAATGCCTTACACGATGTATAATTTTGTAAGTAATTACACATTGTTAAATATCTACTTGAGAGATACTGACAACAAAAAATCACTTAATAGTAATGACTGAAAAATGTAAAATGGTATACGGCGAGTGTAGACAAAATGCTGTGGCCTTGGAACGAATATAGAATGTATGCGCACACGATACACTCAGTTAAAGCCGCTATATAATATAGGTATATTGAATTTTTCTAAAAAAGCGGTTATTTCACAACAGAAAACGCGATTTCCATGTTTATTTACTTTTCATGGAAAACAATCATATATAAAACAATCCTGGCCTCAATTGTTTCCTTCGCGGCGACTTAGGTAAACAGCCGTTTTAATTTTCCTCTTACCGGAGGGTGACGAGAAAAAAAAACCGGGGCAATATAAAAGCGCAGTATCCTCCAGATTAAAATTCGCCCGCCCCAGGCCCCGGTCCCCAATTTCGCGAATTAAAACCAACGCAGCGGATAATTAATTTCGAAAATAGGTCGTCTTCGGCGGACGGTTATTGCCGGGCAACGCATGTAATACCTTTTCTCCGTACGTCGTACTATTTGCCCAGTTAATTATGTTTGTTCTTTCGAGAACCTCCCTCCTCTCCGGGGATGGAGTCCAGGAATTCATTATTTGTGTTTACCCGCAACACAATGGAGTTTATTGGAGAAACACAGGACTTGGCCGCTGAGGCAGGGAGGGTCATTTTCTCGTAATAAAGCAACGTCTATTTATCGAAGTTCGAACTTATTTCGATCCCAAAGTATGTCTGTCAAAGGGAGCCAATTTCGATAGTTTTTTGTTGTTTTTTTTTTCATATTTCACGAGGATAAGTTCCATGTATTTCATTTTTTTCTTTTTCAATCTATTTTCTGTCTCGTCGTGTATTGTGCAACTCGCCCGGAAATGTGTTGAATTCTATGCCTTTAAATAATATTATTGTCTGTCTCCTCGAGAAATACTAGAAATTTCCCAAAAAATGTCGAAATTGGCCCACACTGTAGATACAGGGAGTTCAAAACAATGAAAAAGGAAGGTTTTTTCATCAATCCGCTTATATTATATTTTCGTTCCCGCCATCAAATTATCGAACATTCTTCTCGATCGTACGAAACTTATTCTTTTATCAGAGGAATAGAAGTAACGAAGGACAAGTACCTACCAACATCTTTACCCCGAAGCTCTCCTCTCGTGCAGGTCTTTACGGGCTTCAATCAGGCCCCATTGTGTCGTCCCGCTGTCTCACTATTCGATAAATAGCTTTGTGCTACGTACAAAGCACAAAAGTCTACTTACTGAAATTTCCTTGGGCCGGTGAGCATCCCTAGAAGGTTTGCCGGAACGGGTTAATCCCTTTTTCCTCAATGCCGCGCGTTTCTGCGGCTTTTAAATTGCTGGGATGTCTCTTTAAATGGGAATCCCATCGTCTGCTGGAACCGAGATAGACACAGGGTGCTCACTGTGATGTATACGAATATTTACCGAGATATAAAATTTTTTTAAATGGGTCAATTTCCATGCAAAGAGTGACCGCAAAGCAGTATATTTTTAGCCTATTTTCTCACCCTTGCCAGAAACCTTAAAAAAAATCCTAAAAAATATTCTGCATATGTCAAAATATTGGTAATGAAAAATCAAGATGAGCATATTTTTTAGTTTTTCGAAAAATGTCGAAAATCACCCCTAATTAGGGGCTGATATCATAACGCAAAACTGAAATATATGAATAATATCAATAAGAATAAAAGAAATTCTTATTATATTTTTTTTATAAATAAAATCTTACAAATAGGAAATAATTTATTTTCATGATTAATAAATGAGGGCGTGATATAACGAGCGTTCAAATAAAAACGTGTTCGAAGTTGGCTCTGACACATTGGACGTAGGGAGTAGCTTATAGCGACCAACTTAACCTCATTTCTCAACGAGCTGTATAGCAGCTGTCAGTTTCAATAACGTTAATGACTATATAACTTTATTTTAAAGAATAATCGTGATAACAATAACAAACAATTAAAGGAGCTGCGGAAAGTGTCCCCCTCCTTGTTATAACAATAAATTAAAGCAGCTGCTGAAAGTGTCCCCCTCCTTGTTCCAAGCACTTTTCACACCTGTTCCTCAAAGAATTAAAGACATTTTCTAAGATGCTCGGGGTATTGTTAATTTCACGAATCTTGTCTATAAGTCGAGCCTGCAGATGGTTTAAATCAGGAATAGGCAGTTCAAAAATAGTGTTTTTAAGGTAAGGCCACAAAAAGAAATCACACGGCGTAATATCACATGACCTCGGTGGAAATTCATGTTCAGCATTGAGACTTATTAGTCGATTTTGGAAAACTTCCCTCAACATATTCATCGTCTCGCCTGCCGTATGTGCCCTTGCGCCATCTTGTTGAAAGTAAAAGTTTGTAATTTCGTTTTCTTCCAGCTGGTTAACAAAAGGAGCGATAATTTCTTCTCTATACCTTTGCGCAGTAAGAGTACCATTAAAAAAAATAGGTCCATAAATCCTCCTTCGATTGAGAGCACACCAAACTCCAATTTTTTGAGCGTGTAGAGGGCCCTCGACAAAAAAGTTATCTGGTTTTTCAGAAGACCACATTCTCATATTCTGTGAGTTTACGTAACCACTTAAATGAAACCAGGCTTCATCAGAAAAAAAGGTGATATTATGAAGTTCACCGTAGTTGTTTAAAAACCATTCACAAAATACAGCCCGTCGCGGAAAATCAACTTCATGAAGTTCTTGCTGACAAGTTAAACGATAGGAGAACAAACGCAAATCTTTTTTTAACACTGTGTGGCAGGTACCGACTGATACTCCCACCATTTGTGATAAAACACGTACAGAAGTTCTTGGCGCATTTTCCATTATTTGTTGGACATTTTCTTTTAATTCTTCAGTCCGCTTTTTAGGTCGGCCGCTTCCTTCTTTTCTTGTTACACTGCCCGTTTCACGAAAAACATTAACACAACGCTGAACTGCACTTTGAAAAATTTTGTACTCAACAACGCCGGGAAATTGATTTTGAAATTCTATGAAACATTCCTCAATAGAATACTTCCATATTCCATCAATCTTGCGTCCATTTCTAAAGTAGGACTCTATGATAAACACTTTTTGTTCTTGAGAAAACACCATTTTAAACGCTTTTTAAAACGAAAATATTCAAATTGATAGCGGCGATATAGCGCTTTGACAGATGACGTTTAAGTTCATTTGCTATACGCTACGCCCTACGTCCAAATTTTCAGAACCAACTTGACCACGTTTTTATTTGAACGCTCGTTAGTTGTAAGTCCACCCTTAAATTCGCTAAAGGGCTTAAATCATCCCCTAAATATGGCAAAAATCAAAAACTAATTGAAAAATCTAGGAAAAAATTACTAGAAATTCAAATCGTGTATTTTTCACTAGTATCTATAAGAAAACCACCCCTGTAACGAAGGGGTGAACTACCCCCGAACGTGATAACATACGAAAATATCATAGCGATATACAAAAACTGTCGAATATTTTATAACAGATCTTACTTTTCTGATCAGAAAGATTAAGCTGACTTGACTTAATTATCCCAATTTATTTTTTTTTTATAAAAATCAACCCTCATAGGGGGTGAAAAAATCATACCCTAAACATAAAAAAAATCAAAAAATATTTGAAAAATCTTGATTTTTCAAGTAATTTTTTATTTTTTCCGTACTTAGGGGTTGATTTAAGCCCCTTACAACTATATCACGCCCTCATTAATCATGAATATAAATTATTTCCTATTTGTAAGATTTTATTTTATAGAAAAAATACAATAAGAATTGCTTTTATTCTTATTGACATTAATCATACATTTCAGTTTTGCGTCATCATATCAACCCCTAATTAGGGGTGATTTTCGACATTTTTCGAAAAACTAAAAAATATACTTATCTTGATTTTTCATTACCAATAATTTGATATATGCAGAATATTTTTAGAATTTTTTTTAAGGCCTCTGGCAAGGGTGAGAAAATAGGCTAACTTTGCGGTCACTCTTTTGGAAACCGCTATAAAACACCTCGAAAACCTAACGTGATTTATTTCTTTATGTACTTCTTTGAGACCGCAAGAAAGTTTCCTAAAATTGTAAAATGTTATACGTATAACTCTGTACACTGCGGTGGTCCTCAGGGTTACGTTCTAGACCCCGTCCCCACATTATTGTCATATCGTGACGTTTTCCTTCCAGCACGGCTACGACCACTACTCGTGCTCATTCGAGGACATCGTGACAGCTGGTCAAGTCAAGGCGACCATATACAACAACAAGATTTTCGTCAAAGTGACGCTGTTGAAGGAGGGGGAGAGGTGTAAGACGCAGCTGGACAACATCCGGGTCAGCACGATCCGGTAAGTAATTTTTTTTTCTTACATGTGATTTTAAGACACCGACGAAGTTTAATGTAAGCGGTTTGTGGTGGTATGAATCAGGTACGTTTGGTGGCCGGTTTTTTGTGTAATCACTGTTTCTCCCACTTTTTTCCAAGTTACGTCCTCTTACCGAATACTTTATGACACCCTTTTAGCCACTCCTCCATTGTTACATTCAATCTATTCATCAACGATTTTTATAAATTTCGTATTCAACAAATTTTTGGCCAAATAAGAGTACGTTGTTTCTGATATTTCTATTAAAAAAAAATTAAAAGGAACTGGGATCGAAAACCAATAAAAGATTTATTTTGCTGTATAGTAACTTGTAAGGGGGTTAAAGCGATTTTCTCTCTATTAAGTTACTCGCAGAGAGGAATAGAGCGGCTCCGGAAAATCCAGCTGGATATTGTCCAAGTCGCCACATAGAAACGGTAATCCTCTTACTCTTATGCCCTTTTCCAGTCTGGGACGATCCATTAAGAAATATCTCCTTGAATTTTTTTTTGCGCTAGAATCTAGTCACATTATTTTAAACGTACGGCGGTTTTCGCATACGACCCTACGAAGGACTCTAAGTTACTTAAATAATTTAATAAAAATTATTCCTCTGCAACTCTTAAAATTTTCCAAATTTTACCTGGTTTTTCCATTGACATAAAAAATAGGGTGTTCCATTTAATATGTTCAATTTGACCTTTGTTTGACCTTAAAACTTACGGTGAAGGTCAAACTCAAAGTCACAAGTATATTGATTTCTTGATATCTTGCCATATTTTGTGCCATATAAATTTTTATATCGGCCCAGATTCAATGTACATGAGGAAAATTAGCGAAAATAAAAGAGAAACTCGAAAAAAGTCCTATCCCCGAGATTATTGTATACAGGACATCTCTCATCTCGTGAGTCAAAAACTTTTGTTAGCTAACTTTTCTATTTAAATAAATAAGTAAGGAAAACAGTTTTTTCACTTTGCAGGGAAAACGATCAATATTAGCGAAAAGTTACTCAGAGACAGCTTGTAGGGAGTAAAATTATCTACATAATGAGACTTGTTAAATTAAAATCGGTTAATAAACAACAAAGTTAAAATTTTATAAAACCTATGACATGTTGAGGGTTTTGTCATACTTCAAAAGTGTGCCAAAAGTGGGCGCTGTAGGTGCAATAGTTTTCGCACAATTCTATTTATTTATAACGGAGGCTCCAAAAGTTATGAACTTTAAGCCTCTGTACAGGCGTTAATTTTCAACCAAACATGATTCTGAAAGCGTCATTGTAATCTTCAAGACGTAATTAAG